GAATGCCATTTGTAATGACTAAATGTTTTACCCAAGACCCTTTGACCCTATTTTACCCTAAAGGAATACTTTGCGAGACATTATATTTAGTTTAGATGCAATCAAATGTTATTAGTATGCAGCAATCTGTAGCACAGGTTACTGGAAATATGAGCTCATATAAAACAGCTTACAGTTTTGTTGAGCAACAAAAAAAAAGCTTCTAATAAATCATTAGGAAAATAGTTTATAAATAGCAAGAAAAAAATGTGTGAGAATGTAAGAATATATAAAAATAATTAATAATACTTTATAATAAATCATTTTAGTTTAATAGTATATAAGAAAAGATATTATGTAAAACTTTACAACTTTGTCACTCTTTATATTGTTTTTTAAGATCTTTACAAGGTCAAAATTTTTTCTTTTGTCTCCATTTTAGTTTTTAGATTAGTGTTTAATAGTTTAGTAGTGATTTTTTTTTGGCTAAAGGAAATGCTCAAACTTACAAAAGTAAATTTTTATCATATTTTCTAGAAGGTTTTGACTAATGCCAATATCAATATCGGCACCACATCATGTCAAAGTTAAAGCTGTCATAATTGACTGGGAAACTAACAATAGTTTCCCAGTCATTATGTTTAAGTTAATTTCTTTCAAATGATCAATGTTTGTATTATTTTGTTCGAAATTTAAGTTCGACTTTTAGTAATATTTGCTGGCACATAAAATTAACTGATGTAAGTCTGCTTCGACTTTATACCTTAATCAATTGATGATCTGCTGTATTTTTGGTTTATTTATTATTTTTATTTTTTGGTTTAGTTTATTATTTTTATTAAATTTTGATTTTGATAAGTTTTAAAATTTTAGCAATTTTTTTTAACAACATATTCTGTTTCTAACTATCTAACAACATATGCAGTTGGATGTTGCAAGGCACCTAATTCATTATTTGTTATATTTTTTGGTTTTGTTGCTAGAGTGTTGGGTATACTTTTGAAGTATCCAACAACTTGTCAGCCAGTTGTGTTGCTAAAAGCCTTTTCAAGTAAATAAACATATGCATCATAAATAAATATCGATAACTATTTTGCTGTAAAAATTGAAATAAAACTTCTCTTCAATATTTGTATTACTCAAAACATCATAAACCTTTTCTACACCACCATATAGTGGTTGTGCAGGCTTGTGGAGCCGACTGTTTTTTTGACGGCTCGGCTCCAGGCCCTAAGAAATACCTGGCTCCGGCTCCTTAACTTTATGAACAAAAATTGCAAGTTTTTAATCACATTGGCCAACCCAAAACTGTACCAATTACAGCAATTAATTTTTAACCAACTCTCATGATTACAAGGTTGTTGTATTACTACTACAAGATATTACATTTGAAAAGAAAATTTTTTTGGGTAAATAAACACTTTTTTCTATATATTATTTACCCAAAACTAAAGTTTTTGTTTCAAATTTTAGTTTTAATTCTACCCAGGGGACACAGTACTTAAAAAAGACGTCTTTTGAACGTCCCAAAGACGTCCGAAACGTCCGAAATGTCCCGTCTTTTGAACGTCCCAAAGACGTCCGAAACCTAAAAAAGATGTATTTTGAATGTTCAAAATTTGTCCAAAATGTTTAAAAGGTGTTGGAAACACTCTTAAGACGATTAAAAGACCTCTTTTGTATTTCCCATGCCCACTGGGTAAAGCATGCGATCGTTAAATTAACAACAATAAAAAATTCAAAAAAAATGAAAAATAGTTTAACTAATGCAAAAATTACAAAAAATATTTATTTTAATCTAAGGAACTTGAAGATTATAAAAGTGCTTTTTACTTTAATATTTTTATTATTTCAAATAAATAAGCAAACATTTACGCTTATTAACGACATCAACTTCTCAATGGGACGAAATTGTGTGCAAATTAATGGATTCAAGCTTTTTGGTATGAATTGGATGCCACTCTTCTTAGAATAATGACAAGAAGCACGATTAGGCTAGAACCAACAAGGGACATTGTGACTTCAATAAAATTCCAAAAGTCTAGCTTGTAAGTATTCTTTGATGTAAACATTCAAGTTTAAAATTGGCGATGTGACAAAAGCTTGAGATTTCAAACTGCAGCTGCATATTGCTTGAGAAATTTTAATCTTTAAAAAACTCTGAAACTTTATATCCTTTGGCTCGCACTCTGTTTGATAAGCCGGGGTTTTGCGTGAATGATCGTCGAATACTAATTGTGGTTTTCTTATCCTTAAAGCTACTCTTTCACCCAGATCCTTTTGCTTGTTTGATAGATAGAGAGCTCTTGTATTGTTTTATGACAATGCAAACAGTAGTTTTGCTAGATTCAGATGCCTTAGCAATTGAAATTAACGATGTAAAAGGACTTTGTAAATAGTTGTGCAGAATTTTTTTTTCGTTTTTCTAAATGTTTTAATGACATTTTAATTAAGAGCAACATTTTGATTCGTTTGTTGATGTTTTTAATTAATACCATAATTACTTTATGTAATTACATGAAAAAAATAATTTAATAATGTTAGTGACAAGTTTTAAACAAAATTTATTGTTCTAAATTAAACGATCATACGCTTTAGTTTAATTTTAAAGATATCAATAACCTTTGATCATTAAATCACGCATTAAATATTTAACAGCAGAGCATCAGTATAAAAATATAATATAAAGCAATATGTGCATCATTGTAATGTTTCCATTTATAATTTCCTTTTTTTTTAATAAAGAATATTAAGAAATTTTATTAAAGGATAGTATATTGTTGAGCAAAAAATCGTTAAAATATTTATTTTTATTAAGTTTTGGCATAACCGTAACTGTTAGAAAAAAATATTTTCAAAAAATAGAAGTTCACTAAATAATTCATTTAACAAATTAGTTTAACAATAAATGAATAAAGTTTGTCTACAGTAAAAAAATAAACATACATTCTATTCCGTTAAAAAAAACACGAGAGCCGGGAGCCACTCAATTTTTGCAGCTCCGGCTCCAGCTCCACCAAAAAACAGCAGCTCCCTGGCTCCAGCACGGCTCCACAAGCCTGTGGTTGTGTTAATATAATGTTATGAGTTACAGCATATAGCCTTAATATGATATCATAAGTAAACAGCATATAGTGGTTGTGTTAATATGATGTTATAAGTAAGAAAATTAATTATTTCATAGGGACTGAAAAGAAGAAAGTAAAATATCTTATAAAATTTTGTTTAAAAATTACCCTAACAACATATTTTATAAAACACCTCACTATAAGTAAACCTTACACATCATATTATAAAAACACCTTAATACTAACACACTATATTATTAAGCATAACTATATTATTAAACTATATAAACACCTATTAAATATTATCTATAAATAGTAAATATAATTTTTATATTTAATTTTCTGTATTATTTAATTAACTGTAGTAACTGAAAATAGGGGAAAAACATTACTCTGTAGAAAAAAAAAACAAATTTGTAAACTTAACATTTCTTAAATTTCATGCCAACTAGGGTGTTCTAAAAAATTGGTATAAAACTGCCATTAAAATTGAAAATATATTGAAAAATATAATACTGCTGATAAAAAAATTCAAAAGCTACCACCACCTCCAAAAAAAACTTCAACTAATATGGATCACCAAATTGTTAGGATGTATAAAAAAGATCCTTTTTTAACTTTTAGTAAAAACGAATTAAACAGCAGCACAAAGTAGTTGTATCAGACCCAACCACACATTGTTGTTTACAAGAAGACTTCGAAGCTGTACAGCAAAGAAACCTTCGAAGCTGTACAGCAAAGAAGCCTTTGAAGCGGTACAGCAAAGAAGAAATGTCTTCAAAGCTGTACAGCAAAGAAGAAGCCTTCAAAGTTGTTCAGCAAAGAAGAAACTCGATTCAAAATAATATCGGCTAAAACAATTATTTTTTCAAAAATTGCTGAATAAAATTGTTTCTTTAAAAAACAATTTTATTGACTAATGAATGCAACTTATATGGTTTTCAGCCTGTTGCAAAGTGTATGTTAGGCGCCCTATGTAGCAAGAAAACAATTACTTGTATATAATGAAGACTGTTAAATAAAGTGGGGATAATGTTAAGGTTTGGAGAGCTATGTCTTAGCATGGTATTGGTCTACTGGTCAAAATTATTCTAAATTTGGTTTAACACAAATAAACACAAGATATAATACAAAAGGTAATAATTTAACAAGTTTGAGGTAGGAGCCATGTTGGTACCTACCTATAACTTGAACTTTAATACATAACAATAATCCAAACATACTGCAAGGTCTGTAAAATCTTGGTGTGAGTAAAATAAAAACCTTATTTTAGAATGGACAACTTAAATTGTTGACTTAAATCCAATTAAGAATTTTTCCTAATGGTTTATAGCTGATAAATGGAAGTTATATTTTTAAACTATATCACTTCTAATAAATTTCTCAGAAAAATTAAACACTTAAATACCCAAATACCCAAAACTCTCCTCTGTTTGTGCAACAAACTTTTAGTAAAAAAATAAAATAAAAACATACTCAATAAAAGACATAAACATTGAAATAAGCTCACAACAAACACAAAGATAAATTTCTTAAAATAACAATAAAAAAGTAAAATATTAGTGGAAAAGTTGGTATTCCTTGCTTTCGGGGATAAGTGTCACACTAGACATGAAAAAAAAAAATGTTGAAAAAAAGATATCAAAAACCTGGCTTAAATTTTTTAGGAAAACAATATACATTGAAAGAAAAAAAAAACATTTCAAAAAAAAAAACATTATAGGCAGTTAGAAAATTATTTTTTAAAATTCACCTACTTAATGGGGCATCATAGCTAACATTTTTTTACATTGATAAATCTTGTTTTTTCCTTTTTTATTATTTTAATGAAAACTTTAAAATAAAATAACTAATAGTCTCTTTGACAATAACGACATGGTGGCATGGGCAAGAGTCTTATTTAAGCATGAGAATAGTTGCATATTAATTTTAAAAAAGAACAAGATTACTTACAGGTCAAGTTTGCTTTTTCATGAGCTTCACTTTCATTGGAGATTTTTTGAATATACACCAAAACCAAAATAATATTAACAACCCCCAATACGATCATAATTAAGCAAGGTATTGTATACATGCTTAATTTTAGTCGGATAAACGAGATGTTATAAACTTTTGATCCCACAGGATTTGATGCTGCCTGAAAAACTAATTTAGAGAATAAATTCATTAAAATTTTTTAGAATTATTAGAAATTTAAACATGAAATTTTTAGTTTTTAAAAAACAAATTTACGTGGTCCAATAAGAAAACCAGTAGCTTGAGACATGGTTAAATAAGACAAAACTTTTGCTCTTTCTTGATGATTTGTTAGATGAGCACCAAGTGTTCTTGTTACTGCAACATTTCCTAGAAAAAACTTGTGCTACTACAAAATTTCCTAGAAAAAACTTGTGCTTCTGCAACATGTATGAGAAAAACTTTATCACGATGATCTAAGTACTACTAAAAACATTACTATTTATAGATAACATTACTATTTAAAACATAAATAAAATTTAGCAAATTTACACATTAAAAAAAATTAACAACTAGTACCTGCACTGCAACCAACAAGTATACGCCCAACTAATACAAACCAAAGCCCTCCTTTTGTTTGTGCATAAGCATATATAATGTATCCTGAAATCATTAAAATAAAAGAGACCATCAATGGCTCTTTGGAAGATCTTCTATCACACCAGTAGCCAAACATGAATGAAAACAACATCTGGGCAAAACTAAATGCAGCATTTACCCAACCATAAAATGTTTCAGACACTGATTTATCAATCTAAAATCAGTTCACATAAACTCTTAATTCTTATATATATATATATATATATATATATATATATATATATATATATATATATATATATATATATATATATATATACATATATATATATATATATATATATATATATATATATATATATATATATATATATATATCAGCGACATATCCAGGCTGATTTTAATACCGGTATACCGGTATTAAAATCAGCCTGGATATGTTGGACCCCCAAATTTCTGCCCAAACTTATAGTTGGTAAATACTAAGGACCTTTTTTTTTTTTTTTTGTTGGTTTCTCTAGTTGGTAAACAAATACATGAATGTCTAATTCGAATTCAAGCGGATGAAATATAAGTACGTTACTATTGGATTAAAATGTAAAATGCACGTTTTGATTGGAATAAAATAAGAAACGCATTTTATATTTTTATAATTTCTTTCATAAAAAAAATTAAGTTGAAAAAAATATACTTAAAATGAGTTTCTCGTCCGCTTACATTTTGATAACTATAATTTACAATTCGATTAAACTCTATAAGCTTTAAACTTAATCATTTTAAATAATAGTAAAATTGCAGTGAAAATGTAAATAAACTGGTTTAAGTTATAAAATAAATAAATAAAACTTTTTTTAATCGTAATAAAATAATAACGCCAAAAAACTTGATTTAAGAGAAAAATAAAAAAAGTTATTAACTTTTGAAATGGAAGAAAAAAAGTTATTAACTTTTGAATGAATGAGTGACCTATGCCTGTGTTATGAATAAATTAACGACCTTGCAATGTTATAACGCATTTTGTTTTTATAAACTTTAATTAATAAAATTTGTTTTCAAGAGTTTGTATAGTACGTTTAACTTACGTAATATGGGTCGACCAAAGACATCTTGTAAAAGCCACAACAAAAATTCGTCCACATACAGATCTTTTCACAGTAAAAATAACAATGAAAATTCTAGACAAAAGTCAATTTTTGAAGCATTTGCTGTTAAAAAAACTACAAAAGATACAAAACAAGTTCAAGAAGTGGTAGATCAGCAGTTGATTCCTAAAATAAGAACAAACGAAAGCGAAATTATTATCGGGCGTGAATCAAAAGAAAGTGCTATCCCTAATACCAACGAACATTTACTAGATGGATGTATGTACATATGATGTATGTACGTATGATGTGTCACCAATCTCAACAAAAATAGGAAACAATATTTCCATTTGCTATTTATTCTGCAAAGGATCAAGGTTGGTTATGTAGTATTTGTAAAAAATATTGGGATATTGGAGAAGTGTAGAGAACTAAACGCGCAAAGTTTTTTGAACATCCACAAAGGAAATTTACTGCACATCAAAATTCAAAGAGACACCAGGATGCTGCCGAAAAACGTCAACAGGTCAAAAAAATACTTTCAACCGAAGGAACTGTATACAATCAGATGGTTGATGGCAGTTCGCTATACAGAATTGCGGGTAAACAGCGCAACCGTAACGCCATAAAAAAATTTTTTAAAACTGTTTATTTTGTAATTAAAAAGAACTGGTAATACATACTAGTAATACAACTAGTTTTAAAATCTAAATCGATAGATATCCAGCAACTGCGCTTCCATGGCTTTGATGGAACTAACACAATAAGTGGGGTGCATAATGGTTTACAAGCTAAGCTAAAAAAAATTTCTCCCCACTCAATGTACATTAACTGTCATTGTCATTGTTTAGCTCTTGTGTGTGTAAACTTAATGAAAAAATTTGATGTCCTAGTTAACGTTGATGCTAATATCTTAGGAGTTTGAAAAGCCATGAAATATTCTAGCGTAAAGGCCTCAATATTTGATGCAGCGCAAAATGCTGACGGTTTAAAACCAGCAAAGTTACTTAAAGCTGCTCCAACGCGCTGGTTATCTCATGGCGCTTCTTCAGTATGACTCGTTTCAAGATTTGAACAAGTTATAAACAGCCTTGATGCAATTGTTAATGAGAAGTACGATGCGGAGCTGATATGTCTAACATATCAATTACTTGTTCCTGATAATATACTATTTTTGCTTTTACTGGCTGATGTTTTAGTACCAATAAATAAATTTGCAAAGTTTTTACAAATGCGAAACCTAGTCTACTCAAAGATAAACTTAAAATTAGACCTTTAAAAAATGAGCTTAACGATATAGCCAGCAGTAAAAGTCCATTTTTAACACTCATTCAAATAAATTTCTCAATATATCTAAAGTCAAGGAGTAACACGTTGACTAAGAAAAAATAATTTGTTTAACACGATGTCAACACCAGAAAAAATTGATGAGCTTTTGAAAAAAAATAAAAGTGCCATTCATGAGGAGATATATATATATATATATATATATATATATATATATATATATATATATATATATATATATATATATATATATATATATATATATATATATATATATATATATATATATATATATAGTCTTGCATGGTAGTCGAAAAGTTTCTTACATAAACTGTAGTCTTAAAGAGAGCGCTAATAAACCAGACCCAAAAAACTTAAAAAACTTCAATGATTTTTTTTTTCTTAAATGATAGACTGCCTGCCCTAACCAAACACTCAGTTGATGTAGCAGCACTCAATTGCGAGTCAGGCTATAAGATAGTCGATCTAGCAACACGTTGCAAGTCAGGCTATAATATAGTTGATGTAGCAACACTCCCTTGTAGCAGCAGGCTATAAGATAGCTGATGTAGCAGCACTCTACACATGTTTTAAAAAAAGTTTTAAAAAAACAAAAACAAAAACACTATTAACTAAAAAAAGCATTATTATTGCGGTTTTTTAAAAAACAATAAAACTTAATACACTTCCGCAATAATTTAATTGTTTTAACTTTTTGACAACAATAAAATATAGTTTAATTGCCGCGGTAGCAAAATTGTTGTTTAAAGAGACTTTTTTTACATTAAAAGTCTCTTTTGACAATAAGATAAAGATATATATATATATATCAAGCCTTCCCGGGAAGCGCGTGTGGTCACACGCCTTGTATGTCTACACTTAAAGTAATTTTTAGACAACTTGATCAAGTTTTTATATTAGAGAATTTGATCATGCTTTTATATAGTAAACGTTATATAGTAAAGAATTCGCGCCAAAATAGAGCTATAAGAAACTAGAGAATAAATCAGCAATACTCAAAGAAAAGAACCGAAGACTATACGAAATAGAAAACCTAAATAAAACAAGTTAAAAAAATTTATTAATAAAAAAAAACAAAAATTTTTATCTTTTTTTAAAAGAAACGTTGCTCCAAATTAACTTAATAATAATGATTCAAATTATTATTTTATAAACAATTTTATATAATTATTTTTACAACTTATGTAATAAAATATATATATATTCATTTTTATTAAATAAAATTTCTATTAGTAAAATTGTGATAAAAGAAACCAGCAACTTTTTTGCTTTTACATTTTTTGCTTTAACGATCTTGAAACTATTGAAGTTATATTTAGTTAACTTTACTGAATGGATAGAGAAAAAAAAAATTAGTTAACTTTACTGTTAAGTATATCATAGTAAATTAACTTATAACCTAAATCAAAACAACCAGTTAATTTAAGATAGTAACTTACAGTTACTTAAGTATTAATTTAACAATTATATTAATTAATTTAATATATTCACAAAAGTTAGCCATAGACATGTTGTTTTAATACATAATATAAGCTTTTAACTAATAATTATTTTAACAAAAATTGTCGAATAGAATATGAAAAACGCGACACAATTTTTTTATATTTTCATTTTATTTATAGCGACATCTAGACTAAACATTTTCTATAAATTGTTTTCAGGAATTTTATTTAAAAAGAAATCAATATAAAAGAGAACTTTAGCCTTAAAATTCACTTATTCAAATAACTTTGTTATTAAAATTTGAAATTTAGAAAAAACTTTAAATTTAAAAAAAATTTGATGAAACAAGGGAGATTATATATTTTGAATTATATATTTTTTCTTGAAAATAGTTTTAAAAGTAGAAACATTCTAATGCAAACATCAAAGCAGCGATTTCAAACTGCAAGTTAAAATAAAAATTATAAAAAATTTAAATTAAATTTAATAAATTATTTTACTTCAGTTCGAAAAATATTTTTTCTAAAAAAATAATTTAAGCATAATCTTATACTTAATATAATTCGATTAATTAAACAAAATATTTTGTTTCATTTTTTTTTGGAAAACAATTAGAATAAAAAAAAATTGAATAAAAACATCAGTTTAAAAACTATTTGAATGAAAAACTTAATTATACTTTAATTTTTAATTGTACGCTTGATCAGGAAACGATAATTTATAAAAGACGTGGTATCTAATGTTTTTATGCTTTGATCTTACTCTTTTGGCCCATATATTATAAACTCGTATAGGTCTATAGGCGCTAATATGAAGTTTTATTTTATTTTATTGACTAGATCAATTTTATTTATTTGCTTCCTTTTATTTTAAACGTGTTTTATTTTATAAGTTGTATAAATCAACACGAAACAGCGTCACGAATTTGTTTTACATTTACGACCCAAGCTCTTTATATTTTTAAAACAACTTTGCAGTTTCTTTTAATGTTGTTTTATTGCTTTTAACAATTAAATACTATTTAAAATTAACACGTGTTTTACTGTCAGCACGAACATATTAAATAGTTTTCTATGACTAATTAAAGTGGTTTAGATATTGCAATGTTGCTTTTTCTCTTACTTTTTTAAGTATTCTTTACTTTTTTAAGTATCATTTTAAGTAAAATATATACTTAAAGAAATATCTTAATAGTATTAAAAACGTTATTGCTTATTACATCTGCAACTTTAACTTTAAGTTATAACTTAAGTTGTAAATAATAACAGTAACTTATGCTATTTTAAACTCTGCCGAACTAGAAAAGTATAAGATTATATTTAAATATGAGAGATAATATATTAAAATTTTGTACCAAAGTTACATTTATATACTAACGCAA